GTTATGCGTCAATTAATGATTTTTAAAACTAAAATAGGTGAGTCACCTGTGAGCGCTTTCTACCTCGACCCTTGGGTCTGCTTCACCATTGATGACCCAGAGGGGCAGGGTGGATGCAGTCAACATCTGGTGGACTAAGAACAGAAACTCGGGAACCTTCCAGGCCCTGGTGCTGGGGACACCACCTTCATCCTCTGGCCGAGTGTCAAGTTAGATGTTTCTCCTGGCTCAGTGCATCGGTCACATGCTTCTAGCATTCAGGCCACTGAATTTTAAGCCATAGTCAGAGTCAGTGTGGCTTGCATGCCCTCCCTGGCCTCCTCCCCCCTCCCCCTGCCCAGGTCCCAGCTGCTTCCTGAGAAGTGTCCGGGGGCCACACTGAGCCTTAGGCTGTTTTTCCCTGCCAAGGCTTCGTGGTAAGACCTCGGGGCTCCCTACGGCCCAGACAACTGGTGCCCTTAGAGCTGATTTCTGGTCCTGGTCCCGGCATCCCCCCCGGGGTAGGGGGAGGTGAGGAGAGGCATCCAGGAAGTGTGGGCGCTTCCCAGGATGTCAGTCCAGAGCCTGCCGGGAGGCCTTGCATATGGGCAGGCATCATGCCCGCTCCATCCCGGCGACTTGCCCTGGGAAGATCCTGCCTCTCCCTGGGCGAGCGGGAGAGTGGAGCAGCAGCCGCTGGGCGGTGCACGAGGACTAAGTGGCCAGCATTTCCTGGTGCCCTGAGGTTTGCAGATGGGAGCGTTTTCTTGGCCTGTGTGTCCTGGGCGCATGACCACATGATGCGCGCTCGCTTTCCCAGGCTCCCTCCATCACTTAGGAACGAGGCTGGTGTTCGACCCTCTCTGCCTCCGTGTCTTTCCTGCCTCTCTCCCGCACCGGCGTTGCGGTCGTTCGCCGCGGGGCGTTCGCCTTGCTAACCCAGGCCCTTCCTCTTGCCTCCTTGTAGGAGCCCATCTCCAACAGCCCTGCCGGCGGAGTCCCCGGCCCGCGCCTTGTCGCAGCCAGAGTCGCCGCAGGCCTGGTGCCCTGAAATGGACGTGACTCGGGCGCCCTCCGGTGGACCGTGGAGCTAGCCGCCTGCGAATGCCGAGCCATGGCCGCCGCGGGGAACGAGACGCTGCGGGCGCATTACAGCTACGTGGGGAAGCTGCAGGGCAGGATGAGGGACCCCTCCGAGGGCAGCACGCTCACCACCGTCCTCTTCCTGGTCGTCTGCAGCTTCATCGTCCTGGAGAACCTGATGGTTCTGATCGCCATCTGGAAGAACAATAAATTTCACAACCGCATGTACTTTTTCATCGGCAACCTGGCGCTCTGCGACCTGCTGGCAGGCGTGGCCTACAAGGTCAACATCCTGATGTCCGGCAAGAAGACGTTCAGCCTGTCGCCCACCGTCTGGTTCGTCAGGGAGGGCAGCATGTTCGTGGCCCTGGGCGCGTCCACCTGCAGCTTGCTGGCCATTGCCATCGAGCGGCACCTGACCATGATCAAGATGCGGCCGTACGACGCCAATAAGAAGCACCGCGTCTTCCTGCTGATCGCCACGTGCTGGCTCATCGCCTTCTCGCTGGGCGCGCTGCCCATCCTGGGCTGGAACTGCCTGCACAACCTCCCCGACTGCTCCACCATCCTGCCCCTGTACTCCAAGAAGTACATTGCCTTCTGCATCAGCATCTTCACGGCCATCCTGGCGACCATCGTGATCCTGTACGCGCGCATCTACTTCCTGGTCAAGTCCAGCAGCCGCAAGGTGGCCAGCCACCACAACTCGGAGCGCTCCATGGCCCTGCTGCGCACCGTGGTGATAGTGGTGGGCGTATTCATCGCCTGCTGGTCCCCGCTCTTCATCCTCTTCCTCATCGACGTGGCCTGCAGGGTGAAGGAGTGCCCTGTCCTGTTCAGGGCTCAGTGGTTCATCGTGCTGGCCGTCCTCAACTCCGCCATGAACCCCGTCATCTACACGCTGGCCAGCAAGGAGATGCGGCGCGCCTTCTTCCGTCTGGTCTGCACCTGCTTGGTCAGGGGCCGGGGGGCGGGCGCCTTGCCCGTCCAGCCGGCTCTTGACCCAAGCAGAAGCAAATCAAGCAGCAGCAACAACAGTAGCCACTCCCCGAAGGTGAAGGAAGACCTGCCCCACGCGGCCGCCTCGTCCTGCCTTGTGGACAAAACGCTGCAGAACGGGATCCTGTGCAAGTGAGCAGCTCCACGCACCTCGTGCTGCAGCCCCGATCTTATTTATTGCGTGCATCGCTGCCTCCCCCTGGGCCTTCCCGTGCTCTCGCTGGGGAGCCTACTTGGTGATGCCCGCCAGTCTGCCCTGTGTGGATGCCCCCCTAGGAAGGGGACCCAGGGGGCCGCCCACCTACCCCATTGAGGACCACCCCATTGAGGAAATCTGAATGCATTAAGCTGATGACGTCACCCGCTCCCTCCTGCTGGGTCCCAGGCCCTGCTCTTCTTGTCCCAGAGAGGGCAGTCATGGACCACCCGGTGCCCTGTGTTTCTCCGTGCGCCCTGGACAGCATTCTACACTACGCAGACTGCACATACGATGGACGCTTCTGTATTCGTACCTTTTTACATCATGCAGAGTTCCCGTTCTAGGTCTTTGCCTTGTGGTACCTCCCTAAAGTCTGGACACGCCACACAGCTGTGTAACAAGTTGTATAGGTGTGTTCTGACTGCACCTCCAGGTACAAGGACGTGGTCGTGAGCCAGGTGGACATGCCATCCCTGGTCTCCTCGGACTGACATTAAGTCTCAAAGTTAGAAGATTTGAAGGCCCTAGTTCAAGGCTGGCCCCACACATGTAAGACTGACCCAAGCCAGCCCTGTGATCCTTTGCTTTTGTGTCCCTGGCTAAGCGCAAGCACTTCCAAAAGCCAAACTGTGTGACTGTGCTGGCGTTTCTGCAAACCACGGAAGAGCCAGCCAAATTCTTGGAGGAGCTGGAGCCCTTGACCCTTCAGAAAAAGACCCCCCCTCCTCCCGGGGCAGAGGCAGAGGCGACCTCTGGTCTGGGGAGCCATGGTGTGTTCGGTGTGACTAGGGTGTCCCTGCAAGAGATGAGGCTTCCAGGACAGCACTTTGGTTCCGCGTGAGGTTTGATTGCGTATGAAAAGCACCAACGCGGCACCATGCACGCTGTCGCCACCTGGTGGCCGGAGCCATCAGCACACTCACTCCTGAAAGCCATGAGCTTTTTAGGTTGGGAGGTGTGAGCTCGCCACGCCTGCACCGTCCTGCAGTTTCACTTCCCAACAAATCGAAGTCACTCTGTTTCCCGTAAAAAGGGACGATGCAGGAGACGTTGCCACACGTGCCCCTCCCTGTGGATTCCCCGTGCAACACGCAAGGGTGAAAATGGGAACACCTTGTAGCACAGGCACAGGCACCAGCTGCTGTGCGGAGTTCTTTGTGAGAATGGGCACAGAACCAACTTGTAGAAGGACCCTGTCCCTTGGGTGACCCTCACACCACCGCCCCCTGTTGTTTTCTGGGTTCAGTGAGAAGGTTGCCTAAGACTTAAAGGGGCACTCTTAACTCCTGGTTGCCGTCTGACGCAAGGTACTCCCATGGGAGAGCATTCCCATGTGTCCTGGGTCACCTCCACCTACTGACCAAAGACTTCCCCGATTCTTGTTCCTAATGACACAGAACCTCCCGGTGTGGAGACGCTCCTTGGGGCTTGCTTTGTTGCCTTCTCTAATCCCTGAAAAGTAGCTGATTCTCTCATCAAATAGCATGAGAAAGCCACAGGGCATTTCTAGAAAAGACTGGGGGTTAAGCCCAAGCATTCAGTGTTGCCTTCCCACATTGCTAACAAGAGGAGCTTGCACTTTGTGTCACAGGTACGAGTTGCTGTGGGGGCCCTGGCTCCCTCTGCCACTGCTCCTAGGAACACCGCGCCCGCTAACCCAGCTTCCGTGCGTCGTGAGTTTTAGCTTGCACCGAAGCCGTCAGGATTTGTGGTGTGATGTCGGCCCCTGCGGGATAACACCAATCTGAATTAAAGACACACCAAAAACAGTAACTGTGCTGATCTGATAGGTGCCAGACTGCTCCCTTTGAACCCCATCTGTGTGTTCCCCGCCAGCCCGTCGGTGGTAACTTAGAAGCTGTGCATCTCAGACCCTCACCTAGAAGTCCAGAAACAGGTGATCTTAGACGCCGCCGAGTATCTGTGCATTGGATCTCTCTTCAGTTAGCAACCTGTACTATTTCCAATGTAGGTTTGTTAAAAAACCAAATAAAACCAAAAGCCTTTGTATACACATGTACTTGGAAGTGCACACGGTGCGACTGTTTCGTTTCCATGGAGACCGCCCCTCGAGCTGTGTGAGTGGACGGGCCCGTTCCCCACCTGTTTCCTGTGCCTCCTGGCTTTTTCGGGAATTAGAGCCTATTCTGAGCCCCTGGTGTCGGTGTCCCCTCGAACCCTGCACTGTGGCGGATGGCGTGTTAATGAGGCGTGTAGTGGGCGTCAGTGACAGCATACTCGGTTGATCCCAGGTGCCGAGGAAGAGTGAAAAAGGGCTCTCCTGACGGCAGGAGAATTGTAAGAGCCAGGGCAGCGAAAGGGGCATGAGATGTCTGCTGCTGCTTCATCTGCTGCTGTTTATGCGAGCACAGGGGACAGACGAGAACCGGCCCCTTCCACCAGCTTTGCCCTCACGGCCTCTGTCTGGGGTTCCGTGGAAAACAAGCCCGCATGGCTACGACTGGTAATGAGATGCCTGCCCCCAACGCACCTGTGCCCTTTTGGCTCTGTCCAGGGCTCCGGATCACAGAAGCCAACAGGTCCCCAGGCCGCGCCCCCGCTGAGCCATGCTTTCCCTTCCATGCCCTTGATGGATGGGGTAAGATTTGACTCTGTTTTCCCAGAAATCTCCCCGGGGAGGAACTGAGAAACCTGCACTCCCGGGAAAAGTTTCACAGTCTCCCCTCCCCAGTCCCTCTCTTTCACAGGACGCAGTGCCAGACCCACATCCAAAGGAAGATTTTTTTTTCCCAGAAGCCTTTATTGCCAGCAGAGTTACACCGACAGTCATTTCAACAATTAGCTGTTTTTAAAAAAATGGTTGTTTCTCTCAACCCTTGAGTTACTCTGCACTGGTCAAGAGCCTTTCACAGAAATGTAACAAGGTACATTGTATAGAAAACATCTAATTACATGACCAACTCCATGCTTTTCACTTGTATCTACGTGTAAAACCTCAACACCCAAATGTTTTATTTTTAGTATCTAAGTCGAATATCCAAAGGGCTTGCCTACAAGCAGCTATGCACACCCACCGTTCCGAGAATCAAGGCATGGAGTCCCACTGCCAGGATGAGGAGTGTAGCATCGCCTGGGCCATCCTCGGCTCCCGGGCCCGTGGCGGCTCGTGGGGATCCCGTGGGATTCCCTCGCCTGCTGCTCCCAGAGGCCCAGGATGAGCCAGGGGCCTCAGGCAGGGCTTGTCGTGGAGACCCCGTGGTTTCCTGTGGGAGTGCAGGGGACTGAAGGTGAGGAGGGGGCCGTAAGCCAGTTCTCCTCACCTGCTGTACCGTCCCGGCTCCAAAACGTCAGCCAAATGTCCTAGGTCTTGTCGTGTTTTTCACAGAACAAAGATTGCGAAACTTGGAGTCCCTTTTTGTGTTTCCACTCCTCAGAGATGCCCAGCGGGCCGGGGTCTCCCAGAGGCAGAGCTGAAGGCCATGAATGAGCAACAAACAGTCTTCAGATAATACTCATGGGCCAAGATGTGACAATTACCATCCAGCTGCTTTTTTTTAAAAAAAAAGTAGTAAATATCATTACACATTAAATTGACATGGAGTTGCCGCCTAATCCAGGGATTTCGACACCAAATATTTCATTTTGCATAAAAAGAAACATTCACATAGTTAATTTTACAATAATCCGGAACAACTGTATGCAGAGGTCAGGAAGAACAGAGAACAGTCTGCTTGCAACCCACACATAGTCATTACAAAACAAGGGAGCTCCATGTCCCAACACGGATTGTTCATTGTGTTAAAAGTGTCTACGTGAGTGTGAATTCACTACCTCAGCAGCTCAGGGCCAGAGCACTCACTCCCCATGCACATGGTGTTCTAACTATAGCATCTCAAGATGAGACAAAAGTAAAAGTAGAAAGTCAGAATTGTCTGAGGTTTGATTTCCGGTTCTCTAAGAATGGTCCTTCCAGCCATGAGGAAGGAGCCTGCGTGTTTGGGGCCTCAGGGATTCATTTATCCGGGGCACCTGTGACAGCAGAGAGGGCAAAACGTGGAGCCTGGTGCACCTGCCCTCCCCTGCGGCATCTCCTCTGATGCTGGCCACTCACCTGCGCCAGGTGAGCCCAAAGCCTGCCACACCCTCGCCTGCCTCCTCTGACACCACGTCTACCTCCTGTCCGAAGCCCTCCCAGGGTCTCACACCCCCCTGGGCATCTGCCCTCGCTGGTCCTGTTGAACTTGGGACACTCCTACACTGCAAGGTCTGGTCACACTCCCACAGCCTAGTGTGTGCTCATCCCGTGCGAGATGATAAACTCAGGCAGAAACTTCCGTGTCCCACAAGCCTGGGACAGGGCCTGCCACCTAGAAGCTAACGTACAAATGAGGTCAAGCAGGCTGGTTAGGAACGCTGAGCAGTGCACCCGTGTGCCACTGTCCCACCAGGGGCCAGCCGCCTTCCCACACAAAGGCGTCGCCTGGAGCTACACACTGTTAGAGAAAGGAAGTTGCAAGGCTGCATTCTTTTCATTCTCCCTCTGTCCCTCTTCTTTCCTGTCCTTCCCGCCGGCTTCTCTTCCCTCTGTCACTTCCTGCAGTGGGCTTCCCGCCCTCACTGACCTCGTGTCCTGCCCCCACCCCGTCAGTGCTTGGCTCTCACAGCTGTAGCATCCAGGACCCTCCTCCAGGGTCCACAGACCCCAGGACCTGTTTGTCCACAAATAACTTTGCAGCTGTCCTTTTGAGTGCAAAACCAAAACCCAGAGAAGACTCCTCAGATGCACCTCACAGAACCCATCTGTGTGTATGTGCGCACCGAGAGATGCTTGCTCATTTTAATCAACCAAATGTATGCAGGTGTGTACATACGTGTGCAATGCACACTCACTAATTCTGGTATAAAGTTGCAATTTTCCTGGCAGCTGTAAAACATGCCAGTTTGAAAACTGCATTTGTTGCTGCAAACTGATAAATATGTATAAGCCCCATTCTAAATAAATTGTGGCTGGCAGATGGCATTTTATCTGCCAGCAATGGTTGCATGGAATTATCAATGCATAATCATCTCCCATTTATAAATTCCCAGCATGGGCCCTGGGATCCACAGTACGAGGTGAGACGGAAGCCTCATCAGCATCAGTTGGCGGCGAAAAGCCAACAGCTAGAGAGGTTCTCAAAGTCGGGACACCTGCGCCGGCATCAGCCTGAAATTCCTTTGGAGTACAGACTCTTGGGGCTCCCTCGGGCCCAGTGATGGGGAGGGATGGGCTCCAGCACCAGCTGGTTCTGCTACCTGCCTCCCAGCCCAAGGCTGCTTACCACCAATACCTAACTGTGCCCGGGTCCCCCTGCTTGGGCAGTGCCCAGGTGTGCACAGAGAGGTCTGAACCTGTCCCCAGAAACGGCCTTTTCTACCAGTGGGGGGCTTTCTTCCCCGGTACTGGCTAAGTCTGCAGTGCCCTGCCGCTGCCCACACCTGGCTAGCTCTTGCCTTCTGCACTCCCCTCCCTCTCCATTCCGAGGACCGCTGCCCAAGTAAACCAGGACACACACGCAGATCCAGATCCTCTCTCTGGGTCTGGTTCCAGCAGAGCCCCTACTGAGGAAGTAGATGCCCGGCCCCTTGGTCTGAGTGACTGGGGCCTGAAGCATTTGGAAACAGAGTGCGATTGAAAAACCAGAGACAGGAGTCCCAGGACGGCCTTCATGGCAGGCCCACAAGGGCAGGGACTTGGGAACTCCCCACTGCTGCCCGATTCAGCCACTGACCAGTGAGCCTCGGGAGCCATGGGAGTCACCCGGCTCCCATGTCCTCCTCTGAGAAATGGGCCCCTCCCTTCCTTGGGATCCTGCATGGGGCCAACACTTAAAGGCTTTGCTTTATGTGCTAGGAACTGGGTTTTTCCACTTTGTCTTTCTCAGTACCAACTCTAAAAGTTGCACGCAAGAACCGGAGTATTATTCTGAGACCCAGTGGGATCCCTTGGCCGTGGCCACTTGCCATCTTCCCACAATCCTCCTCTGCCTTCCACTGCACAGTCCACAGAAAGAGATTTAGGGACACACCCAACCCGGGCCCTTGAGGCCCAGGTTTGTGAATGAACACTCCAGAAAGGCAGCACTCCTCACACTTACACAACTCACCCACCCCTACGCCCTCTCGTGGTACAGCCTTGCAATGTGGAGCAAGCCCAGGCTCAGGGCTTGGGCACCCAGCCTGTGGCCACAGGGCGCTGGATGTGTAAGAGCTGGGATTGGACAGAGGTGTCCAGCACCACCAGCACTGCCCTGGGGAGGGCTGCAGTCCAGGCCTCTGCCAGGCTCAGCACACAGGAAGGCGATGTGGTCTGGCCTGCAGGTGTGACCGGTGCAGAGGAAGCAAGGGCCAGGGCGTCTGTGTTCTGAGCCACTGCTTAGGAACGGAGTTCCCAGGACGGAGCGCTGCATTTCAGAGCTGGGGCATCAGGAGACCCCAGGACAAGGCATGGAGGTTGGACGCACCCAGTCCTTTGGCCACACTGTTTATGCAACTGCCCGCCTGATTCTACAGGGAGCTATGCAGAGGAGCCTTGTGGGTCAAGATCGACACTGACCTTGACCACCAAGAGCCAAACCCCTGGGAGGCCTGGCCGGCTGAGTCACCCAGGAGGGTGGGGTGCGAGGGGAGGCCACGTCTCAGGAGCAGAGAGGGGCCATGGCCGATGGCCAACCTGCTCCATGCTCCGGCAGACACGGGGATCTGGGTGGAGTGGTGGTCCCAGGAGGGGGCTGCAGGGACATGGGGCACACTCATGGGCCCAGCACAGCACACAGCAACCGTGGGAGCCCTTGGGTGCACGGTGTGGTGCTGCTGCACCTGTGTCTGTGGCCAGCAGCCCGCCCCACCTGCGCTGCCCAGGCGGAGATGTAGGCTCAGAACTTGTGAGGATGAGGGGCCCGGTGCTGGGCAGTGGGGTGGCGCTCTCGGGCTCACCTGTGACTCTGGGGCTCTGAGCACCGGCCGGCACCCAGCAGAGCATGGGGAATGCCAGGCACACAGAACAGCTCTGCTGCCCACTGCCTGCATGGCCCCAGGCGAGGGGTGATGCCTACCTAAGCCTGGGTCTCGCCCTGGGCAAGTGTGGCTCGTGGGGAGGGCTCGTCCCCACGGCGTTGGCAGGAGCCCTGAGACAGCTCGTGGGTGGGCTCCAGCGCCCTTTGCAAGAGACAGAGACGAGGATCAGAAAACCACAGCTGTGGTTTGAAATCTGTGTCTGAAATCTGCTCCAAGGCCTAAAAAGGAGGGCCGATTTTCTCACGTGCTGCTCTCCCAGGGTCACTGACCTGCTCATCTGAGCTTAAGACTCTATGTTTTCAATTACTATGGAAAAGAAAAAAATTGACTCCAATTCTTTAAATTCTCTAAATTGATGCTCATGCAAAAATATATATTACTACATTGCCTATCACCCTCAAAATACACACTGACTTCAGAGTGCACAGAGGCCCAAACGTCACACTGCTACTTCTTAAATACCCACAAGAATAAAAAGAAAGTCGCTCCAACCTTATGCTGTTCATGGTTTTTTATCTTCGTTTCCTACTTTGCCAGGACCTTGACGGCAGCTTTGTGGCTTGGGGAATGCCAGACCTCAAGAGAAGGTCACTTGATCCTTTCATAAAAAATCAAGGGGCAGAGAGAGTATAGTGTCATCTACTGGCCCATTCCCCAGATGCCCACACCAGCCTGGGATGGACTGGGGCCAGAGCAGGAGCCAGGAACTCAGTCCAGGTCTCCCACTCAGGTGGCAGGGAAAGCAAGGACTGCCTCCCAGGGTCTGCACTGGCGGGAAGCAGGACTCAGGAGCCCGAGCCGGGGATGGAACCCATGCACTCTGCTGCAGGCATCTTATCCGTAGGTTGGATCTTTATGTGTAGGGCACATTGGCACACAGGGGTACTGGACCCGTATGTGTATCTACAGGGCCACAAGCCTCGCTGGACAGAAGCACAGTGCGGTTTTCAGAGCCACTGGCCCCTGGAATCTGACTGTTTGTAATTCGACAGCCTGAGCTGGCTGCCACCAGCATCCCAGCTCAGACATCTTGGAGCAAGGCATCCACACTGCACCTGGATCTGAAACCATTCCCAGAAGCAGCAGGGTGGTCTACACTGGTGCTAGGCTCCCCAGAGCCCCACTCCACCACAGAACAGTCTAGAAGACTGACTCCATCATCAGCTTGGATCCACTGGACCCTCAAAGGGTAAAAACTCCATAGAAGCCTGGCACGTGCTCTGTCTCCACCCTGTCCTCTTCCCTGTCCGGCGGTGCAGGGTGGCCCAGCAAGGCCCAGCAACCATGGTTGCACAGCTCCGTGCTGCCCTGCCTGACTACAAATGAGCACATGGCAACCGCCCCGAGCCACCGGGCCACACAACACTCCAAGAGCCGAAGCCGGGGTCACACCCTTATTAGGAGAACTTGACAAAAGCAAGGCACACCAGATTTCTCAAGCTCGCTCCATGCTATCAGTGGGCAACTCTGAATGTGTGAGACGTGTCCTTTGTCCAACGGAGCAAGTGTGCTGTCTGCCCTGGGTGTCACCACCCAGGAGCCAAGGTCACAGCACCAGGAGGAGGAGCCAGAGAGCACATGCATGCTCTCATTCTTTCTAGGACAGCCTCTGTGACACCACGGGGTGATCTAAGCCGAGGTGTTTCTACTCTAAACACCACCAGGTCTAACACCCAAGGGCCCATTAGGAAACAACCTGGAAGGAAGAGGGTTAAGACTAGGAGCTGTAGGGGAGCAGCCTCCGGAAACCTTGCCCTGGGGACCCTAAGGCAGCTTAGCGTCCCCTGCGCAAGGCAGAACCGCAAACTGACTCCAAAGACCCAGGAGTGGCCGCAGCTGTGCCTGTCCGGGGTACTGCACTTGGTCTTCGGCTGGCCCCTTCCCCCTGTGTCATTTCTCTGTCGAGTGAACACACAGGGACCGTGGGGAGGAAGCAACCCACCCACAGCCGCCGCCAGCAGCCTGGGATCAACGCGCCCTCCCCCCACCAGAAGGCCATCTAAAACCACGAATTGGCCTCAATTCCCCTTCTGCATGCCCATTTCCTCATTGCACGGATGAGAACGGGAGAAGCATTTGCCAATCAAGACTCCGATCGGTGCGGCTTATGTGGCGCCGTACTTGGCATAAAATGAATCCCCAAGGCTCCTCGCACAACCGGAGGCAAGGGTGACAGGGCCCCGCTGGGGGCGCTGGAAACCCACCTGCTGCTCTGTCGTCCGGTGCTGGAGGCGGGGCACAGGCGGCGGACGCTGCAGAGCCGGGGGCTGGGGGCGCGGCAAACACAGGGCCAGCCCGCCGTTTGGGCGGCGTGCTGCCTTCTTGTATTACAATCCCACGTGTATTGCCCAAACCTCCCGCTTGCCTCTTTTCCCCTTGGATTGTGCTTATTGGGTAAAACTGCAGGCTTACACCTTCCTAGAGGGATTTCCCAGTGGAATGGTTCAGCTGAATTCAATTTTTGCCTGGACAACTACAAACTTTTTTTTTTCATTAAAAACATACAGCACAGAACATTAGTCTTACATCTTTCTTAGTCTTAAAAAATATAAATATAGAGGGATAATTTGTACAGGATGTATAGGTATGTACACCTTTAGTATGCATATGAGAGATCTGGAGCAAGTTTATAAAACTTGAACTTGGGCTCTGAGCCCACAAGCAGCTGGCCGGGCTCCCACGCTAGCCCTGGTCTCCCGGGGGTCTCCTCTCCACCGGCTGCTGCAGGCACAGCTCGCTCCCCGCCGAGACGATGGGCACGCTACTCTCCAGGTGGTGGTTGATGAGGTGGCTGATGCTGTCGAAGACCCTGTCCTTTGTGCGGATCTGTGAGAGAGGCAGAGGGGAGACTGAGCATGTTCCGTGGCAGGTTCGGGGCTGGGGAGGGCTCCCTGGGGACCAGCCCGGTTGCTGACGCCAGCTGCCCAGTTCTGCCCATGTCTCCTGTCTGCTGCTGCAGGACTGAGCCCTGGGATGTCTCAGTCCATCGTGCTCTGGGCACGTTCCATGAGAACCCAGGCCCACTCCAGCACCTGCAGGCGGTCTCTCTTCCCGCCCCCTCCCCAGGCGGCACTGGCACCTGTGCTTCCCTCATAGGCACTCCAGGCAGCCCCAGGAGCTCCCCCGCTGGAGGTGAGCATGGCTGTGCTGTGTGCTTGTGTCTTCGAATTCTAGAGCCCAGCACAGCACCCAGGTGGAAGGTTGGGGCCAGCTGATAAAGACTGGCAAGGAGTTCAGGCCCGTCTCCCCGACTTGCTCTTTTGAGGAGGGTGCGGGCAGCAGGCACCGGGCTCACCTGTGTGCCCGACTGCCCCTGGATGCCTGCGGGTCTGCACCTGCTCTGTAGCCACAAGGATCCCTTCCCCATGAGTGTTCACAGGAGTTGCTGGGAGCCCATCCTTCCCCATGGCAGTCAGCTCACCCCACCTGCCCCTTGGGATGTCCATTGTCCTTACGTATCTGTCCCAATAATCTCCCTTCTCCAGCCCCTCAGCCACCCCCACCTCCCCTAATGCAGCACTCTTGTCTGTCTCTCCCTCAGGCCATTGATGGGCCCTGGACCTCTGGGACATCAGCTCCAGATGCCACTCTCACCCCAAATCCACGCTCTTGGTGTGCAAATGAGAAACCCTGGCCAAGGGGCTCTGAGAGGCCCACGCTGCCTGCTGGGGGCAGCAGTGGCAGCAGCATTGAAGTCAGGCTGCTTTCCCCTGCAGGACCCCTGTCCATCCCTCTCTGGAAGCCCTGGAAGGGGAAGGGACCTCCCAGGCCACAGCATCCCCTGATACTTGGACAAAAGGATGTCACGTGCTAGTGAGATTCAGAAAGAAATCCTCTGCAGGACATTCCAATGTCTTCCACTGGGGTTGCTTGATTCCCCTGGGGTTCTTGGAATTCCTGACCCAGAGGAGCCCCTGCGTGACCTGAGCAGGGTGCATGTTCAGAAGATGGGGCCCCCAGGTGCTCAACCTGACCATATTTTGGGTGTTGCTTTAACACCAGCTCCTCCTGTTTCCCTATGATGAGCACTCACGTTAAGTTCTGAGGGAACTGGGGTGCATGAAGAAGGGATCATGACACACAAGTGTCTGGGACCATGGTCGCCACCTGAGCTCCCTGCAGGGCACTTCAGGACCACTGCCCCGGGCCCCAGCCTAGGCCAAGTCCATCCAGAGCTCAGGGTGGAGCCTGGGCAGCAGTGCCCCCCTCCCAGAGACTCCAACACACTGGCAAAGCTGAGAGCACTGGTTAGTACCTTTATAGTACACGAGAGTGGCTCAAAAATTCATGGAGGGGCCTGCGCTGTGGCGTAGCAGGTAAAGCCGCTGCCTGCAATGCCAGCATCCCATATGGGTGCTGGTTCGAATCCTGGATAGTCCTGGTGCTCCACTTCTGGTCCAGTTCCCTGCTAATGACCTGGGAAAGCTGCAGAAGATGGCCCAAGTGCTTGAGCCCCTGCTACCTGCATGGGAGACCCAGAAGAAGCTTCTGGCTCCTGGCTTCCATCTGACCCAGCCCAAGCTATTAAGGCCATTTGGGGAGTGAATCAGTGGATGGATGATGGAACTCTCTCTCTCTCTCTCTCTCTCTCTCTCTCTCTCTCTCTCCTTCTCTGTAACTCTTAGTTTTAAATAATTAAAATAAATCTTTTTTAAAAAGTTTATGGAAAATAGTTCAAGGAAAAGCTTGTTTTAGTGCAAAAAGTTTAAAATCCATGTATATGATGGATCCTCAAAAATCTTTTTGATACCTTCCAAAACAGAAAACACCAGGTCCACGTGAGTTCACTGGTGAGTTCTACAACATTTAAGGAAGAATTTCTGCCAAGTCTCTATGAGCTCTTACATAATATTAGATCAGACAGACGACTTCTAACTCATTCAGTGAAGCCAACATCACCTGAACACCAAAACCAAAGACTTTAGAGAATACTATAGATCAGTATCTCACATGAACACAGAGGCAAAAATCCCCAACAAAATATCATCAAATGGAACTCAATGGGGGGATTTATCTCAGGTGTGCAAGGTTGGGTCAACATTCAGATATCAATTACAGGCTCTAGGGGAAAAACTCAGGGTCATATCAATAGATGGAGAAAAAGCATTTGACAAAACCCAATGCCATTCACAATAAATTCTTAAGTGGGAATAGAGGGGCATGTCCTCAACTTGATAACGAACAAATACCTACAAACAAACAAAACCCTGTGGCTAACATCCTACCCAACACAAAGGAACTCAAAGCTTTCCCAGTAAAATAAGGATTGAAACAAGGATGTTCTCTTTCACCACTGCTTTCAACATTGTACTGCAACATCTAAGTAATGCAGTAAGAAAAAAAAAGGTATGGGGCCAGTGCTGTGGCTCACTTGGTTAATCCTCTGCCTGTGGCGCAGGCATCCCATATGGACGCCGGGTTCTAGTCCTGGTTGCTCCTCTTGCAGTCCAGCTCTCTGCTGTGGCCCGGGAAGGCAGTGGAGGATGGCCCAAGTGCTTGGGCTCCTGCACCCCTAAGGGAGATCAGGAGGAAGCACCTGGCTCCTGGCTTCAGATTGGTGTAGCTCTGGCCATAGTGGCCATTTGGGGGATGAACCCATGGAAGGAAGACCTTTCTCTCTCTCTCTCTCTCTCTCTCTCTCTCTGTCTAACTCTATCTGTCAAATAAATAATAGAAAAAGGTATATTGATTGCAAAGGCAGAAATAAAATTGCCTGTGTTCATAGGTGATATGATTGTCCAGGAGGACAATCCAAAAAAACCAAAAACAACAAAAATCTCTTTGAAGTGATAAACAAGTATAGTGGTATTTCAGGACATAAGTGTAGCATACAAAAATCAGTTGCTTTTCTGTATCTCAGCAATGAATTCTTGGTACTTTTAATTTCACACACAATACCATTTACACTCCACAAGGGAACTACTTGGGCTTAGATCTAAAAGAAAGTATAAAATCTATATGAGGAAAAACTAGGATAGTCTGTTAAAAGAAATCAAAGCAGAACTAATAAAATGGAGAGATATCCCATGTTCATGGATATGAAGATTCTATATTCAAAGCAATCCCATTCAACATCCCTACAAGTTATATCATGGACAACAACAAATCAATAATCAAATTTAGAGACACAAGAAAAAGGCTCAGAGTGGCCAACACAATACCAAAGGAAAAAAGTAAACTTGGAGAACTTTCAGTACTCAAGTTCAAGACTTATTATAAAACATCACAACTTTAGTCATAAAGACATCATGATATTGGTAGAAGAATAAACAAACAGATCAGTGAAACAGAACAGAGATCCCAGAGACAGACCCACACAGACACATCAATGCATTGATGACAAAGTATCGAGGGCAATGCCATGGGGAGAAAGTAGCCTTTTCAACAAATGATGCTGGAACAACTGGACATGTAGACACAGACCTTATATCTTTTACAAAAATTGACTCAAAATGTATCACAGACCTAAAGGTAATGCAAAGTTATAGAATTCCTAGAAGACAGTGATAGGCAAAGACCTAGATAATCCTGGGTTTGGAAATAACTTTTTGAGCATAACTTCAAAGATACAATCCATGAATGAAAAAGTGAATAATCTGGACTTGATTCAAATCAAATTTTTCTGCCCTGTCAAAAGGATGACAATGCAAGCTACAGACTGGGAGACAATATTTGCAGGAAAAAAAATCTGATAAAAGACTCTTATCCAATATATGTACATAAGGACTCTTAAGATTCAACAATAAGGGCCGGTGCCGCGGCTCACTAGGCTAATCCTCCACCTTGAGGTGCCGGCATACCAGGTTCTAGTCCCGGTCAGGGCGCTGGATTCTGTCCCGGTTGCCCCTCTTCCAGGCCAGCTCTCTGCTGTGGCCAGGGAGTGCAGTGGAGGATGGCCCAAGTGCTTGGGCCCTGCACCCCATGGGAGACCAGGATAAGTACCTGGCTCCTGCCATCAGATCAGCGCGGTGCACCGGCCACGGTGGCCATTGGAGGGTGAACCAACGGCAAAGGAAGACCTTTCTCTCTGTCTCTCTCTCTCACTGTCCACTCTGCCTGTCAAAAAAAATTAATAAAAAAAAGATTCAACAATAAGAAAATGGCTCAATCAAAAAAATGGGTCAAAACCTTAACAGACATCTTCCCAAGGAGGACTTACAGAAGACAAATAAGCTTATGAAAAGCAGATTAAAACAACAGTGAGAAATCAAAACACCTTTTGGAATGGTCAAAGTCCAGAGCATGTGCAACACCAAGTGCTGGTGAGGATGTGGAGCAATAGAGACTCTGATTCGCTGCTCGTGGGGATGCAAAATGATGCAGCTACCATGGAGGGCAGTTTGAGGGTTTCTTAAACAGTGTTATCCTAAGGTCCAGACATCACTGTGGCTCAATATTTATTCAAAGGAGCTGAAAGCCTAGGTCCACATGGACGATGAGAGCAGCTGTGCTCATAACAGCCAAATCTTGGAGGTAATTAAGACGCCCTCCAGTGGGTGAACAGTGGCGCATCCAAACAACGGAATGAGGGTCAAGCCAGGGTGAAGTCACAGAGGAAGCCTGAATATATATTACAAGTGAATGATAGGTCACCTACTATATAATTCAAATCATACGACATTCTGAAAAAGGCAAAACTAAAACTATGGAGACAGTAAAAAGATCAGGGGTTGCCAGGTGCTGGGGGCTCGTTGAAGAGGTACAGCCCAGAGCTTCAGGGCAGCGACACTGCTTTATGGTGGGCACATGACACCAGGCATCTCCCAAACCCACGGACGGCGGGACAAGGTTCTTGGAGGAGGAGGAGGCTTCCCAGAGGAGGGAAA